CTTATTTAAGAAAGTAACTCTTAAGTTTCCTTGTAATTTATTCTTTGAATTATAACCTATACTGGTTATTCCTACTTTTTAGCAGCTTTATTAAGATATAGTTTACACACCATAAAATTCACTTATTTAAAGTGCATCCCTTAGAGGGGATATAATTCCTGAGGTTAGTGTTTGAGATTTCTTTCTGAGCCTAGGCAGAGTCCTCCCCACTGTTTCTTTCTTTGTTTTTCTTTTTTCCCCCTAGTTTTATTAAGAAATAATTGGTATAAGTTTAAGGTGTATAGCAAAATAGTTACATATTTTGTAAAACGATCACCACAAATAGGTTAGTTAACATCTGTCATCTCATACAAATACAATAAAGAAAAGAACAAAATTTCTCCTTGTGATGAGAACTCTTAGGATTTCCTCTTTTAACAACTTTCCTATACAGATATACAGCAGTGTTAGGTATAGTCATCAGGTTGTACATTACATTCCTAGTACTTTTTTATCTTATAGCTGGAAGTTTGTACTTTTTGAGCACCTCCCTCTAATGCTCGCACTTTCCACCTCTGGTAACCACAATCTGATCACTTTTTCAGTGAGTTAGGTGGTTTGGTGGTTTTTTTTTTGTTGTTGTTGTTGTTGTTGTCTTTCTGTGTCTTATTTCACTTAGCATAATGCCTCCCAGGTCTATGCAAGTTGTTACAAAAGGTAGGATTTCCTTGTTTTTTTATGGCTGAATAATACTCCATTGTGTGTGTGATTCATTCATCCATTGATGGACACTTGGGTTGCTTCCATGTCTTGGCTGTTGTAAATAATGCTGCTATGAACGTGGGGTGCAGATATCTTTTTGAGTTAGTGTTTTCATTTCCTTTAGACACATTCCCCAAAATTAAATTGCTGGATCATATGGTACTTCTGTTTTTAACTTTTTGAGGAACCTCCTTACTGTTTTCCATAGTGGCTGCAGTAATTTACTATCTTACTAACAGTGCACAAGGGTTCCCTTTTTTCCACATCCACTCCAGCATTTGTTATCGCTTGTCTTTCTGATGGTAGCCATTCTAACAGGTGTGAGGTGACATCTCATTGTGGTTTTAATTTGTATTTCTGTACTAATTAGTGGTGTTGAGCATCATTGATGTACTTGTTGGCAATTCATATATCTTCTTAAGAAAAATGTCTTTTTAAGTCCTTTTCCCATTTTTTTTCTTTTTTTGCTATTGAGTTGTATGAGTTCTTCATATATTTTAGATACTAACACTTTATCAGATATATGGTTTGCAAATATTTTCTCCCATTCCGTAGGTTGTCTTTTCACTTTGTTGATGGTTTCTTTGCTCTGCAGAAGCTTTTTAATTTGATGTAGTCCCACTTGTTTATTTTGATTTTGTTGCTTGTGCTTTAGGTGTGGTTTCTAAAAAAATCATTACCAAGATTCATGTCAAGGAGCTTTTTCCTATATTTTAAAAGTTTCATGGTTTTGGTCTTACATTTAAGTCATTATTCATTTTGGGTTAATTTTTGTGAATGGTATAGGATAGGGGTCAAGTTTCACTCTTTTAACATATGAATATCCCAGCACCATTTATTAAAGAGACTTAATAAAGTCATTAAGTATTCTTGGTTTGTCAAATATTAGTTAACTGTATATACTTGGGGTTATTTCGGCGCTCTCAATCCTGTTCCATTGGTCTATTTGTTTTAATGCCAGTACTGTACTATTTTGATTTCTATAGCTTTATAATGTAGCTTGAAATCAGGAAGTGTGACGCCTTCAACTCAGGATTTATTTGGCTGTTCAGGGTCTTTTGAGGTTCCCACCACCATAAGTTTTATTGGGTCATCAGAAAAGTCATGACGCAGTTTTGCAACGAAAAACAGAAAAATACGTCATGACTCTTTTGATGACCCAATAGTAGTGTTTTTTCTATTCCTCTAAAAATTGTCATTGGAATCTTGGTAGGGATTGCAGTGAATCTATAGATAGCTTTTGCTAGTATTGACATTTTAATAATATTAATTCTTCCAATCCACGAATACCTTTGTATTTACTATATTTGTGTCTTCTTGATTTCTTTTGTCAGTGTCTTGTAGTTTTCAGAGTAGAGATCTTTCACCTCCTTGGTTGAATTTATTCCTAAGTATTTTATTGTTTTTGATGCTGTTGTAAAATGGGATCAATTTATTTCTTTTTCAGAAAATTCATTATTAGTGTATAAAAATGGTACTGATTTTTGTATTTTAATTTTGTGTCTTGTAACTACTGAATTCATTGACTAGCCTTAACAGTTTTTTTGTTGAGTCTAGGATTTTTTATATAAAATCATGTCATCTTCAAATAGAGACAGTTTTACGTCTTCCTTTCCAATTTTGATGCTTTTTTTTTTCTTACCTGATTGCTCTAGCTAGGACTTCCAGTGTCCCCACTGTTTCTCTGCAGGCAGACTAGCTCGCCTACATCTCTAATAAATTTGTCTTCCCAATTGCCTTTTACCACATTCTTTGCTATTTTAGAGAGTGTTCTTAGGCTTGAACTTCTCCATGCTCTGTTGCAAATAATATTCTTTGGAAAGAGAGTAGAACCATTTTATGGCTCGTTTCTTCCCTCAGACAAAAATCTCTGAGCCATGCTCTGGAGGTAGCAGTGGGACAATGGCATACTGTTCTCTGAGGACGCCCCCTGCTTTAGAAGCTGATTGCTGGGGAGAAGGAGCAAGGAAAGTAGGTCTCCTCCGTTGCCTTATTCTGGCAAGATATCAGCCCTTTACCAGCCAGGATAAGGGCGATCAAAGTAGAGATTCTGTCACATCACTTAAGGCTGGGTGCAAGAAGTGAGCCCCCTACCACCTCTTGGCTGCACTCACCTGGAACTTAGCCTCAGTCAAAGGTAGCTGAGGGCCTGGTATTACATAGAGTAGGATCAAAGGTTTTTCTGAAATTAAGAAAGTGTATACATCCAAGAAAAAGGAAAACACATGTCCACACAAAAACTTGTTCACATATACTCATAGTAGCATTATTCATAGCAGCCAAAAAGTGGAAACCGATGGAACATTCAGCCACACCCCCTGACCTCTGGGGAGGGGAGAGGGGCTGGATATTGAATTAGTCCCAATGGCCAGTGGTATATTCGATCATGCCTATTGTAATGAAACCTCTATAAAAATCCCACAATATGGATTTCAGAGAGCTTGCAAATTGGTGAATACATGGAAATGCTAGGAAGGTGTTATATCTGGAGAGGGCATGGAAACTTGGCCCTTTTCCCTCATACTTTGCCCTATGCATCTCTTCCATCTGGCTATTTTTGAGCTGTATCCTTTTATGATAAACTGATGATCTAGTTAAAAAAAAAAAAAAGAGCAGAAACCCAAATGTCTGTCAACTGATGAATGGTTAAACAATCATGAGTTATACCATAAAATGGAACAATATTCAGCAATTTAAAAAGAATGAAGTACTTAATACCTACTATAACATGGATGAACCTTGAAAACATTTTTGAAGTAAAAGGAGCCAATCACAATAGACCACATATTTTAAGATTCTGTTTATATGCAGTGTACAGAATAGGCAAATTTATAGACAGAAAATAGATTGGTAGTTGTCGAGGGCTGTGGTGTGTGGGGGAGGGAATGGGAATGACTGTTTCATGGATATAGGGTTTCTTTTTGTGGGTGATGAATATGTTCTAAACTTAGACTGTAGTAATAGTTGCAAATATCTGTGACTATATTAAAAACCGTTGAATTTTATACTTTAAATGGGTGAATTTTATGGTTTGTGAATTATATCAAAAAAGATGCTAAAATAAAAGAGAAAGTCTAGTTTGCTTTTATCTTTTAAAATGTACACGATATATCTAGTTTTTATTCAAATATTAATTGGGCCAAACTTTTAGAGCTTTTGTGATTTTGCAAGTCATACTAGGGTCATATTTGATATCTCAGTAGGAAATTATTTGTATATGTAATGAACATTTTGTGATCTAATATAAGTTACTTTTTAGGGAGTCAGTAGTTTTTAATCTTGTATTATATATTGACATTTTATTTTAGGTATATTATAAATTTATTGGAAGCTTTGACTTTTCATACTTTTCATTTCTAGTTGTCTAATTAAGTTCTACAATTTCAATGATTGCCCTCTGTGTTTTTTTTTATGATTCTCAGAAAGTTTACTAATAGTATTAATAATTTCTACCATTTGTACATCAGAAACCAATTTGAAAAGCTTGGCTTGTGAATAGAATTGTTTTTAACCATGTCTCTTCAGATATTTTTAGCATAGATATTAAATTTAGATCACACAATTATATTTTATTTGCTTTTTACCTGTCTGATTTGTCCCCCACTGCTCCGTGTAATAAAGAAGAGAATATTTGTTTCCTTGGTGGTCCTCTTGTGCTGTATATTTATGATAACTTTTGTCTCTGCAATATCTATTTTCTTGTTTCTTACAAGGGCATCTCAGTACTGCCTTTGTCTTTTCTTTGTGTGAATTCCTAGGAAAAACGGCAGGGTGTAAATAGTCCCTCTAATTTCTTCTATCATCTTAAGTTCTCATGGGAGGTTAGGTTCTTTTTGCCCCAATAAATTGTTCTTATAGTAAAAATAGACACAAGTATCAAAACATACTTTTGTCTGAATGCATATGAGATATAAAAACCTGTTGCTTTTCAAGTATTTATTTTTCTTTTAATAAGTTGTAATACTTTTAAAACTATTTAAAAATAACCTTCTTGGAGAAAAGTTACCTTAAAAATGTTTTAAAATATATATACATAACTAAGAAAACTGTATTCTAAAAACTTTTTTTAGAAATCATAAAATTTGCTTAGCTGTTTTTCTAGAAAAGCTTGGGTAGCCATTATTCCCACACAGAATAGATTAAATAGATTTAAATATGAACAATAGAATAAATTAATTGAATAAATAGATAAAGTAGATTTAAATATGACTTAGAAAATTGGCATGTGACATATTGGATTATTCCCCCTTCTTTTTCAGGAACTCTTGGTGTGATAACAGAAGCTACAATAAAAATCAGACCAATCCCTGAATACCAAAAGTATGGCTCAGTAGCTTTCCCTAATTTTGAACAAGGAGTAGCCTGTTTAAGAGAAATTGCAAAACAGGTAAAAAAACAAAAACAAAAACAAAAACAAAACAAAACCCACCCACATATATTTATATATTTTTAAATCTACTGCATACTTGATTTTGATATGTCACATATAATTTTCATATTTAGTTGTGTATATTTGTGGTTTTGACCCAGTCCTGTATGAAAAGGTAATGTTGTAAAATCATTCCTTCAAGTGCAGTTGCTATTTCGTTCAGTAATTATACACCTATTTCTTGGTTTAAAGAGTGCTGTACAATTTTAAGCCAAGGTAAGATGTGTAATTGGGTTGATGGCTTCCAGTGACTCTGCCTTTTATTGAATGTTTTCTTAAGTTATTTTTGGGTAATATATTTTGTGATTATTTGAAGTAATATTTAATTTTTCTTAAATTAAGACATTTACTGAAATTGGTGGCAAATATTAGTGGCCTCCAAATTTAGAAATTATATATAGGTAATCAAACTTTATCAGTTCTTAGAATGTGCTGTTACTATGCCCTACTTTGTTTTATAATATTACCTAAGCTATAGCTTAAATAAAGTAATATAGTATAGCATAATATAATATATTTAGTTATAAGCTAAAAAGAATTCCTGTTTTCTCTTCCTTACTTAAAAAAGATATATTATGAAGGGTTTTTAGAAGAATAGATAATGCCAAGTAATTTTATTTCTGTATTTAGTTCTGTGTATCAGTGTGGAAATTTTTTCATTTCTTTAGACATTTGGTTCATTGTTTAAACTACAGTGGCTTGTGAAAAAATTCCTTATTTCAGCATTTCCCAGCAGGGAGGAAGTTAAGGGACTATACTTCAGCCTCTTCTTGCTTTCTTCAAACTCCTGGGATTTTTAAGTACTTCCCATCAGCTATAGATTAGAATCTTGAGTGCATGGAGCTTTCAATGTGACCCATGTAGGTCAGCTTTGGGCTATCTAGGGCAGAGTGGAGGGAGGATCCAATGAGGCAGAGAAATTATATCCAGCTAGTACTCCATCTTCATTGTGTGCTTTGTAAGGTACTGAAATGGAAATGGGTGAATAGTCTTATCTCCCCACCATCCTAAGAGAACCACTATTAATGTTTGAAGAAATTTAAAATAGGCAAAAAAAAATGTTGTATTTACCATGTATTTATCATTTCCTGTGCTCTTTATCTTATATACTTAGTTTTGCTTTCTGAGACATTCATTCTTTCTGACAGTTTCCCACTTTTAGGAAGTCCAGCTATGTCATCACCTAATCTAATAGTTCACAAGGATAATTTTTATAATTTTCAAGCAGCTTCAGTTACTTACCAGTTAGATTGTTTCTCCTTCAAGACTTAGCCATAGGCCCCTTAATCTTAATTGTTTTATTCCTGGGTAGGGTGTGTGTGTGTGTGTGTGTGTGTGTGTGTGTGTGTGTGTGTGTGTGTGTGTGTGTGTGTGTGTGTGTGTGGCGAGGAGTTTAAAAAGTAGTTCTGGAATGAACATCCTTGAACTTGTGGCAGTTTCTTTAGTGGGGTTAAAGTAGAAGTGAATGTTAACAGTCGAAATCCTTAAATAAAAGAGCTTATAATTCACAAGAACTTTGGGGATACTGTGTTGCGGTTAGGAAGCTAGAATATATAGTAAGTATTATGCTGTGTTTGCTAAAATGAGATGGCAACAATATTTAAAAGCAGGATGATTGAGTAAAGGAGGAATGGAGATAAGTTTTAGGAGTGAATATCTGAGCACTGAGCAGTAAAGTACAAGTGTGTTCTGATATATGTTGCTAAAATCTTTGATCACTTAAATGCCAAAGAAAGTAACTTCAAGTTTAAAATATCCTGGGTATTAAGAAATAAAGAACTACTTGCAGAGCTTTATGGTTTTGCCTGAGTTAATGCCTAGAAAAATGGAAAGCTAGGTTTTGCAGGGTTTTTAAAGAAAATAACCATAAGCTCACCTATTAAAAATCAAAATAAAACCAAACATTTTTAATGAATAGATTGTTTTCTTGTTAATTTCAAATATTAGTGAGTGATTTTTTTATTCCAATGTTTCTATTTTGTATTGTAATTTATTCTTTGTGTTAAGTACTTTTATTTTTATTTACTTTTTACCTTTGTCAAGCTTGACTATTCCCACCCAAAAAGCTTTATTATTAAAGATATAGTTCAGATTATCTCTCTTGTTCAAGTTTTGAATGACATCTTTTTAATTGACCACCATTGCCTCCATTTTTAAATAGCAAAATAAACACGAATGCCAAATTAGGTTTTAAAACATAATTATAGAATTTATAAAACTAGTCTGATTTGTATGTATTTTCAACAAAAGGTCTTAATGAGGTCACATTCGATCTGTGTTGGCCAATTCTGTCCCTGCACAGTATCTCTACTCTGTAGAAAACAGACTTAGTAGATTTGTTTAAAAGTGTTGTTATGTGATCTTTGGAGTAGAGAGAAACATGTTTAATGCTTTCCTGAGTGCTCCATCTGCTTTTCCACATTGCAAATACATGTAAATATATTTTAGGTTTTATTAATGAGAAATAATGTACAAATGTATCAAAATGTTAAATTTATAATTTTATGACAGTGAAATGTTGGATTTAAACATAAATGGTACAATTTGAGGGGTTTTTTTTGTTACAGCTTAATATACCTCTGATAGAAAGTAATAGATAATTACTTGTGAAATTTTTCTTAATCCTTGAATAAATCAGTAGAAATTGCCCTTTTATTTATTTTAAAAAATTATTTGGCTAGTCACACGATGACCATAATCTAAATTCACTACACAAAACTGTGTTGAATTACCATGGAATAAGCAAAGGTGATGATTGCTGGAAAGTGCCACCCAGTGGTTAAAAAGCAGATCAAAAAGAAAGCTGCTTTTTAATCTATAGTTTTAATAATTTGGTTCTTTGTACTTAATAATAGACAATTTTTAGAGATAAGTAGTACCTTGCAACTAGAAAGCTTGCCTTATTTGAAGCTGATTAAAAAGTTTAGATAGATAATATTTTATTCTCAAATACTGCTCTTGTGAATGAGAAACAGTTGAGATATCCCACTGTTTGGGGAACCTATAATAATGCACATGGAGAGAGGTATTAATGTTTACCTTCTCTGGAAATGGGTAAATGCTGGCATTATGGTTTAGGGACATTTACATATTAATATATAGAATGTACACATCTTATATGTCAAGAATGGTACTGTATATGCTGCCTTACTTTGTAACATTATTCTCAGGCAGAAAATTTGAGAAAATTATCAAGTTTTGGCACTAGTTGTTCAATTTGCGATTTGGATTTTCATCTGATAGCAGAGGAATTAAGATCCATTAAAATCAACAACAGTACTACATGCTTTATGATTGTGCCAAATTCCTGATTGAATAATGAGTTGGCTGCTTGTAATTCCTCACTGTCATTTCATAGCACTTCCATTTTTGCAGTATTTTCAGACTCAAGTTGCTTTTGAAATGGGAAACTGTATTTTGGATGAGTACCTTTTGGAAAGGAGCATACGTGATTGTTCACAAATAGCAAAGTGGGCTCTGTGTTTATTTTCATCACTGTTCTTGCTGAAGGAAATAAATTGAGCAACCTTATACTGGCAGCAGAAGGATTCCACTATGGTCTCTCATCTGATCTTTGTCCATGTGAGGAATTATCCTCTTTCAGTACTTCACTACCTTGTGAAGAGCTAGAAAGGAAGATTTAGTGGAAGATTAATGTGATTCTATCTCATAAGTGGCAGTCCAGTATAATCTCCAGCTTTACTCAGTAGATGGGTAAGTGACTTTTCAGACTTTCTCAGACAAAACATTTGAGATCTTGCTTCCCAGCATGTCAGTTTGGCTCAAATAAAATCTTATAAAAATTCAAAAAAAAAAAAAAAGACTTTCTCACAAAGTAGATTTCCTACCGTAGCCTCTCAAGAGGGAGAAAATTGCGTTTTTTAATTAGAATATCAGTATATCAGTGTCAGATATATTTTATTATTCTCTTAGATTGTTTGTTTTAAAATGACTTGAAGGGAGATCTGAGTGTTGAAATGAACTCAAAAGCAATTTTTGAAGTTTGAGTTTTTCTCCCCCCAGTAAAACTTAGGGGTTATATCCAATGATATTCAGAGGGGAACATTTGTTCCATTAAGAAGACACAGTGACCATAGGCGTGGCATGAATTAGTGTGTATTACTCTGAAAGCCGTTTTTCTCAGTATCAGAGCTAGGTTTTTAGAATTATAGATGAAAAGGCAGCTTTTTCTCTCACTACCTTTTGACAAGGGATGGCCCTTTCTACATACATATCATCACTTTTATTTTAAACAATTTTAAACTGATAGGGTGTTTTTTTCTAGTGAGTGTAGACCATAATTTGGGAAGAAATACGTAGTTCATGTCTGACACTTCAGAATGTTATATGTCAATTCTGAATTGTTCTGTTTTCAATTTGATTTATCTTGGAGGGGTTCAAATAAATTGAAAGGAGTTAAAACATTTAAAACTTCTCTTATACTCTTATGTTCAACAGTAATTCTTGGAAAGAATTTGTTATATATAGAAAATGGAATTGGTATTTTAAATCTTTTTTTCTTTTTTGGAAAGAAAAATCATATTTTTCTCCCTCTAAAGCAGGGAATAATAACCTAGCCAAATGTTTGGTCAATTGGGTTCTTTTCCTGTGTGACCCAGCAAAATGTATTAAACTTCAGGACAATTCTAAATCGTGCTCTTTACCAGGAGCTGTTGAGAACAAGTCGTTATACCTTCACTGAACTGAAAATGTAGAATCAGGACGAGGACGTTGTTTGGCATGAACTCTTGGGTCTTCCCTTAATATAAGAGGAAGGAAATGTCTACCTGTAGTATATATCATTTCATTCTTTATAACCAAGAGATAATTTTCTTGTTAAAAAAAGGTCTTGTTTTTTACAATGTAGACTCCTAGCTGTAAGCCATTAATGTCATTCCCAGTAGGACTAACCAGTTATATCAATAGCCTTAAATATTGTATGATTCGTAGTATCAATT